CTGGAAGCTCTGCAGTGATGGAGCTGGGATGAGGAGACAAGGTTACAGGGAGACTAAGTTTACAAGACTCAGTCTTGTCCAATTCGTTTAATAACATTCGCCTTTAAGCAAGTTACCACACAAATCTATTGAAAGAACTGAGAGACAAAGTGGCTGGAAAGTCGTGACGGAGCCCGGACAGGCAGGCGTTCAGGACACTGTTATTTCCCACCGAAATATTGTATTGATCCTGAAACAGAACCAACTGGGCCCCCTGCTTTCGCTTCTTGCCCATTTTAATTGATCTTTCAAAAACACAAATCCAACCACCTCACTTCCTTGATTAAAACCCTTCAATAGTTTACCTTTGCTTTTAGAATTAAATTGAGATTCCTTAATCCGGCTTTCAGGGCTTTGACCATCTGGCCCTTGCTCACTTTATTTTCTGTTTTCTGTGCTTATTCATCGTTACCTTTTTAATGTACCTTGAAGCCTCAGCTCCTTTGCACATGTTATTCCTTCTTCCTGGAATTTCCCTTACTTGCACCTATTGTCCCAGAGTCCCCAGCATCTCTTCACTCTTCAAACATGCCTCAGACTAAATTAGATTACCTGTTAAATGCTGCCTTGGCACCAGATACCTTTTCCTCATAAACTACATAATGGTGTGTAATCATACATCCGTTTGCATAATTATTTGAACACTGTCTCCTCCACTAAAAAAATGTTTTTTAAACTTTTTTGATCTCGCCCCACGGTAAAAATAGCTTTTATATTATGTGTGATGCACTCTAATATTTTCTGGTTTATTTTATTCTGTTGTTATTGCGGGCACACACAGAAAATGCTGATTGCAGCTCAGTAATGGGTCATGACTAGAGTCTGAAAAACAATGTTCTGGAGTGTAATCTGTAGTCTCTTTAGTTCTCCATTTTATCTCCTGCTTCTAGCCCAGGGTTAGTGCTCAATACACGTTTGATTTTGAATAAAAGATGTAGGCTAGAAGCAGTGAAAAGCCATTGAAGGCCTTAACCAGGAGAGTTGTGCTATCAGATTTACTTAATGAATTTAAACCCCAAACCCCTCATTAGCTGCAATGGCCTTGGGCAAGTTAATTTCTGATTTTCATCTTTGAAAATGGGAACAGTAGAGAATTCTCTGGTGGTCCCATGGTTAGGACTCCACGCTTTCACTGCCAGGGCCCCAGGAACTAAGATCCTGCAAGCCCTGTGGCTCTGAGGAAGGAGGGAGGGATGGAGGGAAAGAAGGAGGGAGGAAAGAAGGAAGGGAGGGAGGGAGGGAGGGAGAAAGGGAGAGAGAGAGAAAAAGAGAGAGGGAGGGGGAGGGGGGGCTTCCCTGGTGGCACAGTGGTTAAGAGTCTGCCTACCAATGCAGGGGACATGGGTTCGAGCCCTGGCCCAGGAAGATCCCACATGCCATGGAGCAACTAAGCCCATGCGCCACAACTACTGAGCCTGCGCTCTAGAGCCCGCGAGCCACAACTACTGAAGCCCACGTGCCTAGAGCCCGTGCTCCCCAACAATAGAAGCCACTGCAATGAGAAGCCCGTGCACCGCACCGAAGAATAGCCCCTGCTTGCCGCAGCTAGAGAAAGCCGCGCACAGCAACAAAGACCCAATGCAGCCAAAGATAAATAAAATAAATAAATTTATATTTAAAAAAAAAGAGAGGGAGGGAGGGAGAGAGAGAGAGAAAGGCAGGTAGACAGGCAGGGAAGGCAAGGCGGGAAGGAAGGATAAAAGAAAATGGGAACCATAATACATACCTTGCAGAGAGGTTTACTACTTTTATCCATGTTTACAGTGCCAGACACTTGGGAGTCACCCTGGACTTTTCTTCACACACACCCCTGGCTTCTGTTTGTCTCCTCTTCTCTACCTTCAGCCACTGCCTTCTGGAGGCCTCAAACTTCTCCCATGACCATTCCAGAGAGGTTCCTTTTTCCAAAAGGATTCAATTCAGACTTCTGCCTGGCCTACATGGTTGTCTCAAGCCTAGTCCAGCCCATCTTACTAGATTCAGCTATACCTCTCTCTTCCCACTTGAACTCTCCTCATTCCTCGTGGGAGAGACATCAGCATCTGCCTCCAGTATCTGCCCTTTGTTCTCTGCCAGGTGAACTGCTTATTCTTCATGATCCAACTCACATGTCATCACCTTAGTTAGCTTTCCAGGGCTCTCTTCCCTTCCAAAGTATTCATTCAATCTGTGTTTATTAAGCAGCTTTTTCACGCTAGGCACTGGGACAGAACAAACAATAAGTAGACCCAGTTCTGCCTGCCCGGAACTCAACTAGCAAGTAAGCACTTATTCATTCAGCCCTTTTTGAAGATCTGCTGAGGCAGACACTAGGGATAATCTCTGACAGGTACTTGCCTCAAAGCTGAGCTTACAGGCTGGTGCCTCTCTGCTCTACCTCCCTTGTCATCCTTCCGCCACATGTGTTCACAATGTGCCGTAATTTTTTTTTTTTTTTGGGCTGCGTTGGGTCATAGTTGCTGCATGCGGGCTTTTCTCTGGTTGTGGCGAGCAGGGGCTACTCTTCGTTGTGGTGTGCAGGCTTCTCATTGCGGTGGCTTTTCTTGTTGGGAGCATGGGCTCTAGGCGCGTGGGCTTCAGTAGTTGTGGCTCGCAGGCTTAGTAGCTGTGGTGCACGGGCTTAGTTGTTCCGCAGCATGTGGGATCTTCCCAGACCAGGGCTCGAACCCGTGTCCCCTGCATTGGCAGGCAGATCCTTAACCACTGCGCCACCAGGGAAGCCCAATGTGCCGTAATTAATTGTGGCTTTCTTTAGCTCCTGTAGACCTGGAGTGTAATATCCCTGTCTTACTCATCTTTACATTTCCAGCTTCTGGGCTGTTCTGTCATCAACTATTTTTGGACCTCCAGAGTGATTCAGACCTAATCTTTCCCCAGGTTATGGCTTTCAAAGATGATGAAGAGGGGTGGGGTGAGGTCACAAAAATGTACATTGAATGAAAAAAAGACCTCACATTTGAAGCTCATTGAAGATGGGAAAATGGAGGACTTCCCTCGTGGTCCAGTGGGTAAGACTCCACGCTCCCAATGCAGGGGGCCAGGTTCAGTCCCTAGTCGGGGAACCAGATTCCGCATGCATGCCGCAACGAAGATCCTGCGTGCCGCAACTAAGACCCAGCACAGACAAAATAAATAAATAAATATTAAAGAAAATAATAATATAAATACCTATACATTTAAAAAAAAAGAAAATGGGATGGTAAGCTCCTTGGGCTTGGAGGTGTACAAGCAGGAACTCCTAGGTAGGTGGAAGTTTGGCTAGTTGGTCTCTATACTCCCAGGTGAGGTCTGGAGTCATTCACTCTTCTTCCATTCTCCCCAGCTTTTCCTACTCCTGCCAAGAGGGAAAAACCAAGGAGCACTGGTCCTCAGGTCACCACCTCAAGTCCTGCCGAGCCGTTGTCTTCTCTGAAGATGGGCAGAGTGAGTATTAGGAAAGGCAGCCAGCAGTGTGGTGGTGGGAAGGGAGCAATGAACAGCACCATGACCTGGGCATTTCCCCCTCCCTCCCCACAGAACTTGTTACTGTGTCCAAGGACAAAGCCATCCATTTTCTAGATGTGGAGCTGGGACGACTGCAAAGACGCATTTCCAAGGCTCACAGGTAAGGGGAAGCCAACTGTGTGTTGAGCCAAAGGGTAAGGATTGATTGGTACATCCCTACTGGGACAAAGGTGCTCGAAGAAGTTCTGTATCTGTGTCTCTAGTGCCCCCATCAACAGCCTGCTGCTGGTGGATGAGAATGTTCTGGCAACTGGGGATGACACAGGTGGCATCCGCCTCTGGGACCAGCGGAAGGAGGGCCCCTTAATGGATATGCGGCAGCATGAGGAGTACATTGCTGACATGGCTCTGGACCCAGCCAAGAAGCTGCTGCTGACAGCCAGGTACAGCCTCAAAGCTGCATCCCCTCCCTTCCCTGTGTTAAATGTTTCCCTTGGTGGGTACCTCCAGCCAAGCCTGCTGCTTTGCTCTCTCTACAGCGGAGATGGCTGCCTTGGTGTCTTCAACATCAGACGACGCCGGTTCGAGTTGCTCTCCGAGCCTCAGTCTGGAGACCTGACCTCTGTCACACTTATGAAAGTACAGCTGGGTGGGGCGGGATGGGGGTGTGCGATAGGGACTTGGTTTGATGTGGCTCCACAAACATGGTTTGCCCTGTTTCCCTGCAGTGTGGGAAGAAGGTGGCCTGTGGCTCCAGTGAAGGTACCATCTACCTCTTCAACTGGGATGGCTTTGGGGCCACAAGTGACCGCTTTGCCCTGAGAGCTGAGTCCATTGACTGCATGGTTCCAGTCACTGAGAGTCTGCTGTGTACCGGCTCCACTGATGGAGTCATCAGGTGAGAGAAGCCGGATGGCCCTCCAGTCATAGGAAGGGCAGACCTAACCGGCCTATACCAACACTTTTCTTTCTCTCCAGGGCTGTCAACATCCTGCCAAACCGAGTGGTGGGCAGTGTGGGCCAACATGCCGGGGAACCTGTGGAGAAGCTAGCCCTCTCCCACTGTGGCCGCTTCCTGGCCAGCAGTGGCCATGACCAGCGCCTCAAGTTTTGGGACATGGCCCAGCTGCGGGCTTTGGTGGTGGATGACTACCGCCGGCGCAAGAAAAAGGGAGGGCCACTACGGGCGCTGAGCAGCAAGGCCTGGAGCACGGATGACTTCTTTGCAGGACTGAGGGAGGAGGGAGAGGACGCCACAGCTCAGGAGGAGGAGGAGACTGAGGATGACAGTGACTGAGGGAATGAGCTGAATCTCAGGATGGGTTCTCAGCGGACAAGAGTCTTGCTTTCTGGGCTGGATCCCTAGAGAGGCTGGGAATTTAAAATATCCTATTGTGCACAAGAAGATGCTCAGGATCGGCACACTGATGTGGGGAAGTACTTGCCCTGTAGCAGCTGCTCACTCCACCACTGTAAGACAAGCCCACAGCTGGCGCAAGACAGCACAGACACAGGTGTAAACCAACCAGGGGTTTAATATAAATACAACCAGCATAGAAAAACTCAAAACTACGCATACACCAAAACCAGAATGCCAAGTGGTTGGGGCAAAGGCAGATTTCTGACCCTTTGGCTCAGCCAGCCCCCAAATAAAAACATCAACAAAGACAAATCAAGAAAATAAGAAGCAAAGATTCATGCTAAGCTGTGGGAGGAGAGAGGGGTGTGTGTGCGACTGTGTGTCAGAGAACAACCCTGGGGTCAGGTTAAACCCCAGGCTGGGAGGGAGAAGGGAAGCTCCCTCACCACAACTTAGCCAAACTTGAGCTGCCCCGAGGTGCTGTGGGCCCTGCCTCAGCTGGGAGGCTGTGTCAGGCCTAGGGCAGGGCCCATGCTCCTCCCCTTCTTGGGATCAGATAGCAGCTGCCCAGGCCTGCTGGGCCAGGGACTGACACAGGCTCTGCCTACTCATTCACGCTGCCTGGGGAGAGGATTAGGTCACTGCTGAACCATGGTACCTCCTGCCTCAGCCGCAGCAGACCGCTGGAGGCTGGCCCCAGACTCAGTGCCTCCAGCAGCCTTGCAGACACAGCATCCTTGGCCACCTCATGCCCATCCTGCCCACTGGGGGCCAGCACAACCCAAATGAGGCCACTGAAGGGCACTGGATGCCCAGGGATCACCACCTGGTACCAGAATCGGTGCCAGCCAGAACTTGTGCCCAAACACTTGGTGAGGAACAGTGGGCTGCCCAACTTCATCCGTTGGCATAGCAGCTGCAGGGCAGCCCGAGCCCCTTGGGACTCCAGCCCCTTGTCCCTGGCCAGGGCTACTTGGCTGCCCTCTGGCTGTAGGCACTGTAGAGACGGACACTTGAGCTGCTGGCGGAGTCGCTGCTTCAGGTCTGGCTTAAGCCACTCCACGGCCACCTGTTCTCCACAGAGGCGTGACTGCCCTGCAGGAAAAAGGCAGAGACAGGGCGGGGTCTAAGCCCTGGGCCCAAGCACCGGAGTCCTCTGGAGTCACACAAGCCTGTTTAATTTGTAGCCTCCCCATTTCCTGGTGTGACACCAAGCAAGTTAAATAACTTTTCTAGGCTTCTTTGTGTTTACTTACAAAGGGAGTGCAATAACTGCTACCTTCTAAGTTTCCTTGGAGTACTGGCTGATTGCAGGCTTTGTCTCCCTCATAACCATCAGAATAGCTAACCTTTACCATGAATACTTGCCAAAAACTACAGAATGTGCTAAATGCTGCTTAATTCTCAGCTTCAGGAAGCAGGTTCTACAGTGGATAAAAGGTAGGCTCAGTTGGATTGCCTTGGGCAAGTAAATTTTTCTTAAAACAGTCTCCTATCTAAAGAGGGACAATGTTCTATGTTTCACTGCAATGTTGAGGGTTAAGTCAGGAGATAGTGCATGTGAAGTGTGAAGTTTAGGTGAGTGGTAGCTGGTAGCACCGGTGGAAATTTAAAAACGTGAAGTCAGATAGTCTGTCTCAAACTCAAGTGTGTTTGACCCTAAGGTCTCGCGACTTTAACCCGCTATGCTGATCTACGCTGACGTGTTGAAGTAAAGTGCCGGGTAGAACGCGTTTCGCCCCAATCAGCGGCCCCCCGCAGTCTCCACCCCTACCTTCCACCAGGGCCTTTTTGGCCATGGCCGCGGCGCGGTGCGAGCTGAACTTGAGCAGTGCGATCTGCGCGGGCGCCGGCCCAGGGCTGGGCAACAGCAGCGCCTCCTGCAGGCCGGGCCCCAGCGGCTGCAGTGCGAGCAGCAGCGCTTGGCGGCTCAGGCCCGGCGGCAAGCCGTCCACACTCAGCTCGCACTTCTCGGTGCTGCGGCACACGAGCAGCGGGCAGGACGGCCGCAGCAGGTGGTTGTGCAGCGTGGCGATGGCGGCCTGGGCGCCGCGTCGCGAGCTGTAGCGGGCGTAAGCGAAGCCGCGGTTCAGGCCGCTGAAGGTCATCATCAGGCGGAACTCGTAGAGGCGGCCCACGCGCTGGAACAGTGGGATCAGCTGGTGCTCGTACACATCCTGGGGCAGCCGCCCGATAAACACTTCTGACCCGGCCGGCGGCGGGCTGCCCACCCATCCTGGGGGAAGGGGGTGGGGAGGGGCACCGTCAACCACCCGGACGGTTCCGGGGTCGAGGTCCAGGAACCGAGCGCAGGAGGGAGTATGTGTGCAAACGTCTGTGAAATGGTTACAACACCCGTACGCCCCGGGTCGTTGGCGTAACTGGGTGACTGAGCTACACCAACGGGGCTGGCACTTTAAGACTGGCTCCTTTCCTCGAGGGGGCGGGTGGGTGGGAAGCCACAGACAATGAGTTTCATCAGCTGAGGGGGCGGGTAACGGGGTAGTTATAAGTTTCTGACTGTGGAGCCTCGGCGTAGGCCCCTCCCTCCCCCGAACGCGGCGGCTCGTGGCCGTCGAGGCTGCCTTAGCCCTCCCGTAGGCGTAGGGCTGGGACTACCGTACCTGGGGGTGGCCCGCCATACTTCCTCTGCCCGTTCACCTGCACCAGGCGGATGCCCGTCTCCCTGACCCACGCCTCCAGCGCCGCCTTGTTCTCTGGATTCACCCTCTCACACCACAGCTGAGGGGGAAAAGGGCAGGTTGGAATGCCTTATCGCCGCGTCCACCCCCACCTCGCCTGTTATGTCCAGGGCTCACCGACCCCCTGATAGGCAAACACTTACCTCACACTCCCGCTTGGACTGCATTGCTCTCCCACTGGCTCGCTCGTACCCCCTTTATAAACTCCTCCCAATCTGCCCCTCTGGAAGCTTCCCTACTCCTCCACCCCCAAAGCTCTCATTGGCTCTGAGCACGACCCCGCCCACCAAGGGGGTGGGGGTATCCGCCGCACGTGCGCCGCGGGAACCTCAGACCCTCAGGTGAAAGCTAGAGACCCTAGTGGGTGGGTCTGCGGGCAGCCCCACCTCCTAAAACACAGCTCGCAAACCTGCAGGATGGAGGCTGGAGGCGAGAACTTCAGGGGCGCCCTTCCCCTGCGGAATAGCCCGTGGGAGCTACTGTAAGTGTCTCTCCCCATTTTCCACCGCGGAAGTGGTCGCAGTGGGAGGCCCAGGCTCTAACAGGGAAGGCGGGGCTAGGCAGTAGTGACACAGGCAGGCTCCAGTGGTTGAGGCATTTTATTGGACCTTCCGCGGCGGCTGGTTGTGGGAAGCGTTCCCTCCACCTAGTTGTAGGGCCCTGCCGAGGAAACCATCTTGGGCCCGTTCCCCGTGGCCCACCCATTTTTGGGTGGCCATTTTTGCCAGTGATTACCAATAAAATAATCATAATAAAAATAAAAAAGTGGGCTTCCCTGGTGGCGCAGTGGTTGAGAGTCCGCCTGCCGATGCAGGGGACACAGGTTTGTGCCCTGGTCCGGGAAGATCCCACATGCCGCGGAGCGGCTGGGCCCGTGAGCCATGGCCGTTGAGCCTGCGCGTCCGGAGCCTGTGCTCCACCGCAACGGGAGAGGCCACAACAGTGAGAGGCCCGCGTGCCGCAAAAAAAAATAAAAAAAGTCTCTGTTATGACCACTCTTCAGGTCTTCCTGTTGGGAAGGAAACGTGCAAAGCTGCTGAAGTACATATGCAGAGTTTTGTCTTAGCCTTAAATAGTGCCAGTCCCACTTTCCTCTGATAGTTCAACTCAGCAGATGCAAAGGGGCTGGCTTGTTTTCCTTCTGATTTCCTCCACGAGGTCTTCTCTTCGGACGTCCACCTGGCCAGGATGGAGGAACAAGGTGGTATGAGCATCTTGTGTTCCACTGCTCTCTGAGCACCCATGCCTTCCTCTAGTCATCAGGCCTGGCTCAGCTGGGCGCAGGAACCCAATCAAACACCTCAGGGGAGACAGCGCTTCTTGGGGGAGGTGGAGAGACACAGGGTATGTGTGGGGATGGAGATTTTACCCTACCATGACCATAGTAACATATTACCCCTTAAGTCCTTTAGGACTGGGCGTTAATATGAATGCCTGGCTTTTGCTTAGGTCTTGAATGGGCCTTGGCCTTGGTCTAGCTTATGTACAGTAACTTTCGGCCTTGGTCTGCCGAAATGGCATACATTCCCCATCCCTCAGCCTTCCCCATCCCTCAGTCTTCCTGTCCACCTACTTACCTCTTCCCTGCTGGCCACCGAGCGGAGCTTGATGACCCCGTCCTTGAGCTCTTGCTCACCAATGATGGCCACCAGTGGGATGCCTGCCTCCTCACAGTACTGCAGCTGGTTCAGTAACTTGGGGTTCTTCTTGTAGAGCAGCTCTGCCTGCAGGGGACCAGGGAAGGAGATGAAGGCTGTCTTCTGCAGTCCTCTGGGACAATCTCCTTGGGGCCCAAGTTGGCACCTTTCTCTGACCTTCACCCCAAGAAGCCACAGTAATGGCAGGGCCACTATGGATAAGCTTTTATTTCGTTTGTGTCCAGCACTCCCAAATTTGCTGCCACCCTGGGGCTTGCCTCCTCTACCTTGATCCCAGCATCCCATAACTCTGAGATGAGCTTCAGTCTCTCCTCCAGCAGCTTCTTCTGTGCAGATGCCACAAGCACCTGTGTTTCTGTGGTCCGTACCTTCTCCTTCACGGCCTAGGGAAGAAGCAGTTAAGAAAGAACTGGGCTACCCTTTACAACACCTTCAAAGAGCAAACAGAGCAGGCTCTTGTCAGGAGTCTGAGACCAGGCCCAACTCCACCAGGGCAGGCTAGTCTTCTCATCTAGCAATTGGGCAAAAAGTAGCTCTTAGAAGAATAAGAAATGAACTGACTGGCTTGTACATATGACTTGCCAGAATTAATAATGGAGGGCAAAGGTAGCTTATGTACAGTAACTTCAAGCTTATCTCCATCTAGAACCTTATGCATCATAAGTGATATTCTGAGCTCACCCAGACAATCCAATCACCCCTGGCAGTCCTAGTTCCCACAAGGAGACTGTGTCTCTTATGCGTCAGCCATAGGGCACGACTTGGGTGGGGGTGTGGATGGAGGGGAGAAAGAATGCTGCTGCTGTCTCTTTTTCTGGAAAACTATTCCCATTGTTCTTAAAACATAAGATGCCTACTGGAACTGTGACCTCAATTGGAAAACACCAGTGGGTTCCACTCTAGAGAAAAGGGTGGGAGCAGTGGGAAGGTTACTGCCAGAGCATTACCCGCGGGATGAAAGGCAACCAGCCACTTAAGAGCAGTAGCAACAAAGGTGGGCTTGAGGCCAAGAAGGGCTTCCTTCATATTACTCTAGGTGCTAGAGAGTCAGGATAACCATCTGAGGGATCCCACAGCCTCAGATACACGCTTCCCACTTAGAGACATTATCGCAGAGTGGTTGGGAGCAAGACTTTGGAGTTGGACTGCCTGCATCCGAATTCTGACTCTGCCACTTAAACCTCGGGCAAATTATTTTATCTATAATCTTCAGTTCCCTTGCCTGAGAAATGTAAATAATGAAAGTAGCTACCCTCAGAGGGCTGTTTAAGAGTTTTATTAGACAATGCGTGAAAAGCACTAAGCACAGTGCCTAGCACAGAGTAGTAAAGTATTAAGTGTTCTGTATTATGAGGAAGATCCAGGTCTTTGGATATACTGGCCTAGATTCCTGACAGCTCTGAAGGAAGTAGGGAGCAAAGGATTTTGTGAAGAAAGAATGATCAAAGATCCATCAAGCTGGCCTATAATGGGGTGGGAGTCTGAAGGACAGCAACAGTCTTCTCTCCATTTCTTTGCAAAGATGCAACTTGCCCAATGCAGTACTAATTGCCCCCTTAGAGATCAAAGAAGATAGCTCAGGTGCCACCATCTGCCCAGAATGTCTTCCACCCAGCCCCAAGACATACCTCCAGCCTCTGCTCCACGATTGAGAAGATCCGCTCTACCCCAATGCTGAGCCCCACGCATGGCACCTTGCGCCCTTTGGGATCAAACATGCCCACCAGCCCATCATAGCGCCCTCCAGCCGCCACACTGCCCACACCCAGGGGCTCTTCCCCTGCCTGGGCTGGGGGCTGTAGCAGCACTGCCTCAAAGATCACCCCGGTGTAGTAGTCCAGCCCTCGAGCTAGGCTCAGGTCGAAGGAGATCTGGAGGGATAAGAACATGGTCAGCAGCAGATGAGGATCAAAGGCCTCCAGCCCCGGAGCTCAGCTAAGGCTCCCATCCCAACCTGACTCACCTTGTCAGCAATGCCAAACAAGGTCAGATACTCAAAGAGCAGCTTCAGGTCTCCCAGGCCCTCCAAGGCCTGCTTGTTTTGGGACAATTTAGGATCCTGGAGCAGCTGTTCCACCAGGGATACCCCACCTGGGGAGACAGATTTGTGAGCCAGACTGACAAGAAGAAAAAGATAAGGGCTTTACCTTTTCCTCTGGATTACACATGTATGCATGTGTGCATACACACACATGCATTCCCTTTCCCTCTGTCTCCAGTGCGCGTGCGCGTGCGCACACACACGGAGGAGTTTGGCTTTCGCTTGAGGGCAGTGGGATGGCTGCCGGGGAGGCAGGGTTTGTTTCTCACCATGCTGCTGGACGTAGTCCCCAATGCGGTCAGCCACCTCAGGTGCCAGGCCCTTCTCTCCCACCATCTCACTCTTTACTTCCTCCCAGGACACCTGAGCAGACAGATACCAGTCAGGGAACCCTGGGCAGCTTCCCCAGTGCAGAGCAAGTGTGAGCCCTTCTCAGGGTGTGGTCTTAAGCAGAAGCTGCCCGTCAACCTATATCCTGGGGCTAATCTTCCTCTGTGGGCATAGAAGCAGGGCCCTCTCTCTCCTAATCTTTTCCATTTCTCAGGGCAGGGTGGGATCTGGGAAAAGAAGAGTCAGGTGTTTGGGTCATTACCTTGTCCAGCTTGTCCACTGAGGAGCAGATGGTGCGGAACTTGTTGTCAGGAACACCACAGACGGCAAACGTCCCATCTAGGATGCGCCGATCATTCACCTGCAGCGACCCAAGGCATAGTGAGAAGAGGATCTCCTTACATGACCCTCGATAGCCTTGGACACTTAGGCTACTGGTTCCTCTGCACAAGGACCTTCTCCTGTGAGAGGCCAGGCCCAGCTTTGTCCTCCCAGCCCCATTCAGCTCTGACCTTGACCAGGAAGTCGCCTATCTGGAGTGAACTCAGGATCTCACACATTATCTTCAGGCACTCTGCATCAGGAATCATGGGGTCAAATTGCCCAGCAATGTCAAAATCCTGTAGGGAGAGGGCTAGCTAGAGGTCCTCAGGGGTTTAACCTTGAGGGAGGACTCCTGGGAGCTCTGCTTTCTATGAAGGAGGCCTCTTTGCACTCATGCGCAGACCACATTCTTCATTCTCCGTCTGACTGTCAGCCCAGAGCAAAACCCCAGTATTCCTGGGTCTCTTACCAGTCCTGGTTTTCTTCCCATCCACAGGGCTATTCCTTCATTATCTCACTCATCTATTTTTCCTTATTTCCTTCCACTGTTGTGGGAGCAATTATACGGCCTTAGTCCTTTATTCATTCAGAAGCTGTGCCACCAGTCTGTGCGACAGTACCTCAAATCCAGTTTCCTCATCCTTTGCTCTGATCCTGTCACTGTGGTTTAATATAAAAAGCCCTGGACCAAGAGTTCTAGTCCTAACTTTGCCTTTCTTATCCCTATGATCTCTTCATCTTGCTGAGCCTCAAGTTTCCTCAGATAAAATGAGGCGCATAATCCCTGTCCTGTATATGAAAATACTAAAGAAATCTTAGGGTTAGCATTATCTGGGGCATCTAGATTTTTCAGGACACCATAAGTACTCAATAGATTCTACTGGCTCAAGGGAGGGCCTCCTTACCCATCCTGCCCCCATACTCACACACTGGTAGAATTCCCGATATCGGCCTCGGGTCATGGCTGGGTTATCCCGCCGATACACTTTTGCTATGTGGTAGCGTTTAATGTTGGTCAGTTTATTCATTGCCAAATACCGAGCAAAAGGAACCTGATGACAAAGAGTTAAGGGGAAAGCCCCACCTTTCAGAGTCTGGAAGTTGATTATCATCACCAACAGAAGCTGGGGTCTAACCGCACCCTGTGTGGGTAAAACCACCATCTGTAAGATTAACAGCATTTCTGAACATCAGCAAGAATCAACTTTGTTACCATACAGGGCAGCTGAAGTCTCATAAAGTATTAAGGCGCTTTTCTTTTTGGGCCATGCTGAGCACAGCATGGGGGTGGGCAGATTGGCCAGGGAGCAGAAAAAGGGCCCCAAGTAGGGATCTCTAAGCAGATGATTCTCTGACATAGCTTGGAGATAAAGGAAACGTGCTGTTGGTCAATTAGGGAGAACTCTGTCCACCAGCCAGGGCAAGGGAGACATATTCTGAATCCAGGGGATTGTTGGCAGAGTCAGAACTGGACCCTGACATAAAGCTGAGGTCTCACTCAGGATTCAGAAGCCTTCAAAGGCTAGCTATGCTCTGTTTAGCCAAAGCCCAGCTCCTGGTTTAGAGAAATAACTTCCCTGACTGCAGGATGTATCATATTTGATCCCACCTATGTCTAGCTGCCCCCAAACCTGAGGCTAGAAAAAGCCCCAGCCCAGTAAGGGCCAATACATCCAAAGTTTAAAAAGATACAGTGAGGTCATAGCGAAGAGACAGCAGCTCCCCACCTTGGTCCTTCAGGTCATAGATAAGCTTAGAGTCTTCCCCATACTTTCCAGTCAGTGTTTCCTGGAGAAAACATAAAGAAATGTGACCATAATGATAAATATAACAATTTGAAAGGAATTTTTAAAAACAAAAACCCACCATTCTAACTATGACTGATTTCAACTTATCTACATTTCCTCTGTTCTCTCTCCCAATGTTTCCTTATTTGATGTAGTTATAATCAAGGAAATACCAATTTGGTTTTCTGCTTATCACATTTCCATTTTGTGACAGAGCTGAAGTATTATTTTTAAAAGCTGCATTGGGAGTTCCCTGGCGGTCTAGAGGTTAGGACTGCGCGCTCACTGCCGAGGGCCTGGGTTCAATCCCCGGTTGGGGAACTATGATCCCGCAAGCTGTGTGGCATGGCCAAAAAAAAAAAAAGCTGCATAATATTCTAGTGAGAAGAAGCTATTTCCTTCCTTCCTAGTGTTACACTGATAGATGTTTAGGTTATTCCTATTGAAAAAAAATTCCATAGCATTTCAATAAATATATTTGGGTACACAGTTTTTTGTTTTGAATATTTTTTTGGAGTATAAATGCCTAGGAGTGGGTCATTAGATCAACAAAGGTAAATGTTTTTATGACGGCCTGAGATTTGAACACTGTCAAAAGCCAAAACTGAGAGTCCTTGCCCTGTGATGTCTTCAACAAGATAACATATTTCACTACCAGACTGGCAAAATTCAAAAAACCTGAAAATTCCCAGTGTGTAGAAAATAGAAATACTCATACAATGGTTGGTGTTATGGCCAGAGAATGCAGTGGTTGGTATTATGGCCTGAATTGTGTCCCCTCGAAATTCATATATTGAAGCCCTATTCCCTGCACCCACCTGGCCCCCGTAACCTCAGATTGTGACTCTATTTGGAGACAGGGTCTTTAAAGAAGTAATTAAGGTAAAACGAGGTCATTAGGATGAGTCTTAATCCAATATAACTCATGTCCTTATAAAAAGAGGAAATTTGGACACAGAAGAGGGAAGATGATGTGAAGACATAGGGAAAAGACACCATCTAAAAGCCAGTGAGAGAGGCCATAAGCAGATCCTTCCCTCATGACCCTCAGAAGAAACCAACCCTGCTGACAGCTTATCTTGGACTTCTAGCCTCCAGACAATAAATTTCTGTTCTTTAAGACACCCAGTCTATGGTATTTTGATATGGGAACACTAGCAAACTAATATAGTTGGTAGAAATAGGAATGAGTACAACCATTTGACCCAGAAATTCTACTTCTGTGAATTTACTCTGCAGATAAATACCCACTAGTACCAGACATTGTTCTAAGCCCTGTGTATACATCAGTGAACAAAGGCAGTCCATGCCCTCATGGATCTTCTATAGTAATGAAAAGAGACAGGCAGTACATTAATGCAAGGGAACAAATTAACATAACTTTTGATAGTGATAGCTTCTTTAACGGAAATAAAATAGGTCAATGTGATAGACAAGGGCTGCTTTAGACAAGGCAGTTGGAGAGGAGTATTTGAGGAATGGCATTTTAGTTGAAATCTGAAATCAAAATCTGTTATGTCTAATTTACTCTGGAATTAAAGTCATGCAGAGAGCTAGAGAAAAAGGAAGTTCAGCAAGAGGGAAGAGCAACAACAAAGGCTCGAAGATAGAAACATATTTAGTATGTTCCAGGAATAGAAAAAGACCATGGTAGCACAGCGGGCAAGGGGAAGAAGCGCATGAGATGAGGTGGGAAATGTAGGCAGTTGCCACATCATGTAGGGCCTTGTAAGCCTGAGTAAAGAGTTTGGATTTTATTATAAATGCATTGGGAGTTACTGGGTTTTAAGCAGGGAGGGATGCAAAGAACTGTTTTTTAATAGCAAAGAACTAGAAACAACCTCAGGGTCCATCAATAGGAGATTGGTTGCATATTTATCCTTTATATGTTCGATTTACATGTATCTAGGAAACATCTCAAGTACAGGTGCCATGGAATTCAATGTAGCCAGGAGCCATAACAACTTCCACCCCTGAGAAGGGCTCTCTTTTGGATGCTGCCGGCCACAACCAAGGTAAATAAAAAGCAGGGCCTCTTTCTCTATGCCAGTCCTGTCCCCCTTCTCATGGAGAAAATGCCAATCTTTGTCTGCAACAAGAGACCTTTGGGCCTCACTCTCTTGCCATCCTCTTTGTTGTTTGTATACCCATTATTCCACCAGGCAATTTCTCCTCATCCACCCCTCACCTTTAGTTCAAACACAGGTGTATCAATTACTTCTGCACCGTGGCGCTTGAAACAGCTGATGATTACATCAAACACCTTCTCCCGAACTGCCATCTGCCGGGGACTGTAGTCTCTTGTGCCCTTGGAGTCAAAATCAGCCAGAGAACCAGGGATGGGGTTTAAAAACAAAGAACAGAACAAAAAAAAAAAGAACAACAAAAAAAAAAAAGAACAACAACAAAAAAAAAAACAAAGAACAGTAAGGTCTAGAAATATAAAAGCATGACTTCAATGATGGCGAATGAAAACCCTGCCCCAAACTTAGGTTTTCCTACAGGTCACTGAGTTGTAAAACAAGTACAAACAATTCCCTATTAATTACCACCCCCATTGCTCTCACCCTTCTAAATTCCAACCCCTTTTTAGCTTGGTTCTATCTTCTAGAATTCTTGGAACTCTGTTCTCTGAGAAATTTTCCTAAACTCATTTTCTGGGAAACAGAACATTCCCCTGCCTAATAGAAAACATCTACCTGATGACAGGCATGTAACCAACTCAAATTGGCTTAAATGAATCGAATTCCAAATTTTACAAGTAACGTTCTCTCCCAACATACCTTAAAAGGAAATCCTAATAAATACTATTTTTTCTTTCTTTCTTTCTTTTTTTTTTTTTTTTTTGGCGGTACGCGGGCCTCTCACTGTCGTGCCCTCTCCCATTGCGGAGCACAGGCTCCAGATGTGCAGGTTCAGCGGCCATGGCTCACGGGCCCAGCCACTCCGCAGCATGTGGGATCTTCCCGGACTGGGGCACGAACCCGTGTCCCCTGCATCGGCAGGCGGACTCTCAACCACTGCGCCACCCGGGAAGCCCTCTTTTTTTTTTTTAAAAATTTAGTTATTTTTGGCTGCATTGGGTCTTCGCTGCTGCGCGCAGGCTTTCTCTAGTTGTGGCGAGCAGGGGCTACTCTTCGTTGCGGTGCGCCGGCTTCTCATTGTGGTGGCTTCTCTTGTAGAGCACGGGCTGTAGGTGCATGGGCTTCAGTAGTTGTAGCACTCAGGCTCAGTAGTTGTGGCTCGCGGGCTCTAGAGCATAGACTCAGTAGTTGTGACATGCAGGCTTAGTTGCTCCGCAGCATGTACGATCTTCCTAGACCAGGGCTCAAACCCGTGTCCTCTGCTTTGGCAGGCGGATTCTTAACCACTGCGCCACCAGGGAAGTCTCCACTATTTTTTTCTTTAATTTTTTTCTGATAGCCCTATGACAAGGGCTAAGTTAATGAATTTGAATGTGTTGAGAAGTTAAGTCATTACTTAAGGCCATTCAGCTGGTTCCTGGCAGTCGGTACTAGAACTCTGTTCTTCCAGGTCAGAGCTTCTAGTATGGGCTTTTATATGCTACTCACAAGTAGGACCTCTTTGGTCTCAGGACCCCTTTACACTCTTACTATTTACTAAGGACCCCAAAGTGGATTATACCTATCAATATTTATCGTATTATAAATTAAAACTGCAAACATTTAAAAATATTAATTCACTTAACAAAAAGAAAATCCATTACATGTTAACATAAATAACATTTTAGGAAAAATGTAACTACTTTCCAAAACAAAAACATCTGGTGAGAAGAGTGGCACTGATTTACATTTTTGCAAATCTTTAATGCCTGGGTTAATAGAAGCCAGCTGAATTTTCATATATGCTTTTTGCATTCAATTCTGTTGTGATATGTTGTTCTGGTTGAATATATAAAGAAAATCTAGCCTTACGGAGATGTGTAATTGTAAAAGGAGGAATATTTTTAATAAACTTTTCAGCTAATTGTAGATATTCTTCTTAAACTACACCAAAATCCAGAGGGAGAGCTTCTTAAGGATTGGTTTGCAATGTGGAATCTGAAAGTACATCAATGAACTTTTCACATTGTTACATTAAAATCTATTATAAGGTACCCAGAATTCACAGAGACAGAAAGTAGAACGATGGTTACCAGGGGCTGAAGGGAGGGTAGAATGGGGTGTTACTGTTTAATGGGTAAAGAATTTCAGTTTGGTATGATGAAAAAGTTATGGGGGATGAATAGTGGTTATGGTTGCACAGCAATATGAATGTACTTAATGCCACTGAACTGTACACCTAAAAATGGTTGAAATGGCAAATTTTATGTTATGTATATTTTAGTACAATTTAAAAAATATCTGTTACTCTATCTTGTACTTTGGATATTCTACGCAGGCACAATTTTATAACATCATGCATTGGTCATTTAGAAAATATTTGTTCTTTGATAACAGTTACACAGATCTTCCAAATGTTGATATGCCTCATTATACAATATCAAAAAACCATATTTGTTCATGTCACCATAGATCTCATCAGGAAAGTCTTCAAGTATTGAGAACCTGTCAAGCTCATGGTGGAAAATACAAGTTCTAACATTGACTTGAACACTTGAATTTTATCACTGGCAACAAATACTGTTGAATGTTTTCCTTGAGGTGACAAGGCTCACTTTGTTCAGTTTTGTGAAAATGTCTGCCAAATATCCAAATCTTTAACACAATAGTTTATCTTTCAGTTTTTCTTTCAAATAAAAAAGGTTTTCCATGAAAAAAGTAGCTAGTTCAGCCTACAGTTCACACATGGCACAGCATTTTTCCTACTTTGGAATGCAGCAGAAGTGCTTTATCTGTGCTTTCCATTTCATCATACAGAGTATTAAGAAACAGTGTACTCAAGGGTCGATATTCAATAAAATTAATAATTTTTACTGTTTTATCAAGGACATTCTTAAGTGAAACTGAATCTTTTTTTTTTACTGTGAGTTCACGAAAGTAAAGAACATAATGGTTATTAGTACAGCTCAGTGCCAACATCTTAATTTGTGCTAAGACACGAGCAGTTCTACACACCAGTGCTTTTGCACCTTCATCGCAAACGAAGTGAAAGGCAAATAACACTATGAAAATAATTTTGACCAGGAAGGTCCCTTGAAAAAGTCCTTTCCCCATAATACTGAGTTTTCTGTTAATTATGAATCACATGTCAAGAAATGTATTTCAACAAACTAAGTGGATATTAACTCTCCAGTATATTCTCATTTTCTTGTTTTTTTAAAAACATCTTTATTGGAGTATAATTGCTTTACAGTGTTGTGTTAGTTTCTGCTGTATCTCATTTTCTTTTAACATTAAATTATGGAAATTTTCCAACACACATTATAGAGAATAGAACACTGGACCACCCCACCCTGTGTTTATTACCTACCTTCAACAACTATCAACATCTGCTATTCTTATTTTATCTAAGCCCCAATATTTTTTTTTCCTGCAGTATTTTAAGGTAATCCCAGATATCATATACTTTCATGCATAAATATTTCAGTATAATTGTCTAACATATAAGGATTAAAAAACAAAACACTACAATACCTTCCTTACAACCAATACAACTTAACAGCAGCCCTTTACCTAGTGCCCAAGTACTTGGTTGATATGTCTCATGTCTATTTAATCTGCAACAGTTTCCTTTCCTTTTTTTTAAAAAAAAAAATGTCCTTTATTTGTTGAGGAAACTGAGTCATTTTTCTGAAAGAATTTTTCTCATTCTAGATTTGGTTAACTGTATATTCAATGTGGTCATTTAACATGTTCCTCCATTTCCCATATTTCCAGTAAACTGGTAGTTAGGTAAACTGGTAGTTAAGTCTGAAGACTGATTAGATTCAGGTACAATTCTTCTTGGCAAGAATATTTCATAGGTGGTGCTGTGTACTTCTTATTGCATCACATCAAGAGGAATATAATGTCTGGTTGTCCTACTTTTAGTGAAGCTAAGATTGATCATTGGGTTTAGCTGAGGTCAGCCTGATCTATCATAAATCCCCATTAATCTTTTCACCCAATAGTTTGAATAACTATTGATGGTCACTGCCTTGGGGTTTTACACCATCTCTTTAACTTTTTTTTTTTTTTTTTTTTTGCAGTACGCGGGCCTCTCACTGTTGTGGCCTCTCCCGTTGTGGAGCACAGGCTCCGGACACGCAGGCTCAGCGGCCATGGCTCACGGGCCCAGCCACTCCGTGGCATGTGGGATCTTCCCGGACCAGGGCATGAACCCATGTCCCCTGCATTGGCAGGCGGACTCTCAACCACTGAGCCACCAGGGAAGCCCCTCTTTAACCTTTGAAATGAGTTATATGTAGAAAGGAATAGCTCAATGATTTTAGGAGCCCAAAGAATTACTCTTAAACAGCGACATCTCAACATAAGGAAGACAGATCATCTCCCCTCTACTTTGGAATTAAATTTCACATACATTCATTGAATACCTATTTAGTCCCAGACTCTCAGGTTAAATAAACCATGTGAATAATGAAAAGTCAGCAATAAATGCAATAACAGAGATACTTATGAAGTGCCAAGGGAACCCAGATGATAGGTAAATAGTTCAGTTTATAGAACTTACAGAAAGTGGCATCTGAACTGAAATCATGGTGGTTGAGCTAGGAATCTCCAACTTCATTCCATTGTACTCTCCTTCTCTATTTGGTTCTAGTCATAAAGGTCTTTTTATAGTTCCTGGAAACTACCAAGGTTCTTTCTCACTTCAGGATTTCCATACCCTACCTGGACTTATCTTCCTCACACTCTTCACCCGGCTGTCTTCCACTCATCTATTAGGTCAGCTAGTCTATCACTTCTTCAGACTTCCCAGTTCTCCCTTATTTTTCTCAGAGCATCCTTTTTACTTCTTTACATCACTTAACACAATTTGTAGTTACATATCCATGTGTGGGATTATTTCTCCTAAGTCTGTTTCCTTCAGTAGAATGTAAGCTCCCTGAGGGCAGGCTATATTGTTCACCATGGTACACTCACTGCTTTGTACAGTGCTAGGCACACAGTAAGCACTCAGTAAATATTTACTGAATGAAAGAAGGAGTAGCAGTAGCAGGTAGACTCCCCTAAGCACCCAGCTGGCCTAGCTTCTGCCATCACTTTGCCATCCCAGAATGACTCAGAGTCCAATCCAGCCTGGTGCCTACAACCAACTGTTGTTTCCTCTGCAGGATTTCAGATCCTCCTCAATGACCTGATTCAGAGAAGCAGGCATATATGCGTCCTTGTGAGTGGAATTAGGGACCCTCTCAGAGGCTCCCTAATGGAATATTTACCTTGGGGGTTTTGAGCACAAACTTCTGTTTCCCTTCATCAGGGCCCAGTTGTGCCTTCAGTTTCAGTAGTTTTGCCACCTCCTCCTCGATCTGTGGAGGGAAAGTAGGCGCTGGGCTACCACATCTGCCACCCCCTCCCTCTTCCGTCATTCATTCAGTATCCCTCCCTCAGCAGGATGTGGGGCATATCTCTCTCCCAAGCCTAGCTTTGCTTCTCTCGGGTCCTGCCGCAGCTACCTCCCCACCCAGCCCGTCCTCCTACCTACAAGTCCAGTCCTTTCTTCCACATCCCCATCCTCTGTGCAGACCACTCCCCGCTCTGTTCTCCCAGGCCTTCCTTTGTCCCCTCTCCTGCCTCCTGGGTCGTACCTGCTCAGCGCTGGCCTTCTGCTGCTTAAGGGCCCGCACGCGCTCTCCCTGAAGTCGCACCAGATCTTCCAGCGTCGCACGATCGCCCATACTGGTTACCAACTGGAGCTGACTACTGTCTAGATAGGTTGTGCGGGCCA